ACACACACACACACACACACACACACACACACACACACACACACACACAGTGGAGACTCAGTTTCCCTGTGTTATAGAGTCAGACAAAGCTATCCAGAATTCTGGAATTTTCTTACTCTTATCACTTACTCTTGTCACTTATAAGCACAAGTTGAACATCCCTAATCTGAAAATCAGAAATGCTCCAAAATCCAGAACCTTAACAATCATCACCATGGTGCCACACTTGTCCTCCTGTGTTCAAAATACAAGGGCACTAAGAATATCTTAGGCTCAAGGTACCTCTCCAGAGGGCAGGCCGGAAGAACACCCTCTGATGGGAACAGACAAGGTCTCTAGGAATCTGAGGGTGTGCCAGATACACCAGGACAAACCCAGGCAGGCCGCTGGTGCACCCCACCTCTGTCCTGCAGACAGCATGTTCTGTGCATGGCATGGGGTGGCCAGGCTGGGCTGTCAGCTCAGAGACTCCTGCAACCTGACAGCTGTAAGGACCCCGCCCATCTGTTTCCACAAGGCCATTTCCCTGTGACCTGCCAGGCTGGCCAGACTTTCTGCTTCTCCGGAGTGAAAACAACGTGTTCACAGCCCAGCACATGAAACATGAAAGAACTGTTTTTTCAGTTCTCGCTGCAGGTTCTCCTGCCCTCCCATCGCCTACAGCGGGGTTTGGAGGAAAGTGCCCCACATCTGTGAACCTTTCTCCCCCAACAGCATATGGATACTGACCATACCCAGGGCACTATGCAAGTCTGGGATGAATTGTCAAGCAGGATGAGAAAGATCAGCTGCCTTAGAGGGCCAGGAAACAAGACTCCAAGCCAAGCTTGTGCACCACCTTTGGTGATGTTTCTGTTCATGAGTCATCTTGCACACACCCGACTTCTTAAAAATGAAAACAGTCAAATCAGTGTCATCTCAGATGTGACACCTGTGACTCTCCTCCTACCCCCCCAGGAGGAGGCTGAGATCCCAGGGCGTCGGGCTGGTGTGACAGGTGCTGTCCCTATGAGAGTCATGCACAGGTGTGGCCAGCCATTGTGAACTGTCCTCCTTGTGTACATATGTGTCCTATGTTGACCATGGCTAGGGCACTTCTCTGGGTTGTTAAACCAGCAAACCGAACCAGGTGACCTGAGGTCCCTCCCAGCTCAAAAATGTCTGAATTTTATTATTTGGAAGTGTAAATCATTAGGCCAGAGCTTTAAGACATTTATTTTTACTTTGAGATTCCCAGCTTTGCCATTGTCAGGTCTTGTAGAAGGAATGAAGAGGGGGATTGTGTCTCTTCGATAAAAGGAACTCATGTGTCTCACAGCGAGGCTTGTGTTGGTTTTTTTTTTTTTCCCCAGCCAGAAGAACATCTGAGTCCAATGAATAATTTTCTAAAAGACTCTGAGCAGGCTCAATATTATCTTTCGACTTTACTTATACTATGCAAGATATGTTATAATGTAGGGTATATTTCCTATTTGTAATGATGGAATATGAAAATATTTTAAGAATACAGAGATGGTTCAGGGGGTGAAGAGAAAGGAAAGAATGGGTTCTACTGAGAAGGGAATGGGCTCACCCCTCAACAATTATCCCCCAAACATCCACCCTGGTTTCACAGTAACATCCCCTTAACCTTTTCTCTTTTTATACACCTGATTAAACCCTACATGGCAAGGCATGTCTATAACCCCAGCACTCTAGAGCTGAAGCAGGAGGATCATGAGTTCAAGGCCTGCTTGGTTCACATATCAAGACTGTCTCAAAATAACAAACTTGGCCTAAGAATGTAGCCAGTTGGTGGAATGCTTGCATATGATGTACAGAGCCCTGGCTTTGATCTCAAGCAGCACACAAGCCAGGTGTAGTCACATGCCTGGAATCCTAGCACAGGGAAGGGAGAGAGAGACAAGGGGATGGAGAGTTCAAGGTCCTCCTCAGCTATTTATTCTAGGGCACCCTAGTCTATAAGAGGCCCTCCCCCCTTTTCTCTCAAAAAAGACTTACTGTGTGAATTAAACTCTCCACAAATACTGTACAAATTAGAATGGATTCAAATGCCCAGCAAATGACTGAAAAGCAATTTTTTTCCTAACTGCCAACATTCTAGTCCTGTTCCCTGCCACACCACGAAGTCATGTGACTTCCAGTTAAGGTAGTCAGTCTATCCCCACACTTCTTGGGTGCATGTTGTTCATTCAGCTCATCATTATCTTGGTGTTTTGAGCTTTTGAGTTTCCGCAGCTGCTCCCTGACAGACTTAGGAGACGCTAGGCTTCTACAGTCTGGGCTGCAACCGCTGCCTCGGTCTGCCCTGCCCTTCTGTGCTCTGGGGAGCATGGCCCTGACATATGTTTTCAGACATCCTGGAAAAGAGTGGCATCGCATCAGAGAGGAAGATGAAACCTGGAGACCTGCCCCCATCTGTTTCCTAGCCACATAGTCTCAGGCATGGTCACCAAGTCCAAAACCAAGAACCCTAAGGTTGGGAAGCAACATGTCCATTACTTCTATCTGCTCTTCCTGGATCCTGTCTTGGTGCCAAAAACTTACTGATGTTACAAGGGAGAAAATGTTCACAATCCATGTTGTCATTTCTTTCCATCAGCGGCTTGACACTGACTTTGATCCTCCTGATCCGAAGTTTTTTCCAGTGACTAACACATGACATTGCCCTTGGATTGTCCCAAGACAGGATGTGTGGATTAATGGACAGCACTGACTCAAAGGTCAGGAGTTCAAATCCTGGACCAGCCACACAGGCGGTGGATGGCAGCATCGGTCCCCTCACCTGCAGGATTCCAGCCCTGGCATCCCTGCCTCCTGCCACAGGACACGCTAGTCTGAGGACTCCACAGCCACAGCTGAATGCCTCCATAGGCTCTCCGTGATCTCCCTCCTTTCCAGAGTCAAGAACAAGCCTTCACGTGACCCAGAGCACAGACTATAGGACAGATTTGGGGAAATCCCGGCAGAACAGATCCCAGATGTCCTGATCAAGCCCCCATCCATACCCCAAAACACAAACCACTCATTTTTGCTACATCCACACCACTTACAGCAAGCTGACACAGGAGGCTTACAGACTCCAGAGTCCTCTGGGGGCAATACTCCCCTTCTCCAGTCATGTCTCTGAGAGTGGCCACACCAGGATCCCCTGGCAAACACAGGCAAAGGGGCTGTGCAGGCAGGGCTGGGGCCATAGTCACTCCAAAGCACGCAAAGCTCCCAGGAGAATGGACAGTTGTTCCCACGGAGACAGGACAGCTCTGCCACACCCTGAGGTCTTTGCAGGATCGAGGGGACAAATGATCCTGGATTCTCATCCCTCCCTCCCTGACTCCAGAAATAAGGCCTCCTGGTACATTCCTACACAGCCACCCCCAGGAAGGGCCTCTCTGACTCCCGGGGAGCAGCTCGCTTCAGCTCTAACTGTCAGCAGGCCTGGGGAATGTGCGTGCCCACGTGCGCTAGAGTGTCTCTCTGGGACACAGTTCACAGGAAACCCAGAAAAGGAGCCTGCTGGCACTGATACACCTTCCTACCTCCCAGTCCCGACCCCTGTGAGCTCTTGGCCCCCCCACCTCCTCCCCACCAACCCCCCACCCTCCCAGCAAGAGGCAAGGCTAAGAAAATACTTTTATAGAGCCAAGTTCCTGTGCAACGGGGATCCTGACTGGTGCCGCCCAGAGCAAAGTCACTCCCGCTTTCTTTCTCAGTTTGTTTCTTCTCTTCTGGGTAGATGAAAGCGGCTGTTCAATTAGGCTGCAGGACATAGTGGCCCGACTGGAAGTCGCTTTTGCCCACCCATGAGGGATGGTGTGTGCCACCCTCCCTTGGCACTAAAACCACCCGGAGAAGCATATAGAGAGAAGTCACCCCTACAGAAACAAGACACTGGGAAAGCGTCCCAGAGCCCAAAAGATTAAATGTTACCACCCTTGGACTGAATTCACCACTCTTCAGTTTTGAAAACAGGGGCCCGGCCAGGCTGTGTGAGACACCCGCCCAGGGAACGGGCTCCAGCGCTGACTTCAAGTGAAGCCAACATCGGAGTTCCTCTTAAGGAGTGAGGTGGGATGGGGATCAGCGAGGCTGTGCCGCTCGCCCAACGCTGCACAGCGAGGCAGGTGCCTGAAGGAAACGGAGCGCCCCGGTGGGACTTCCCGTCCTCGCTGCCCACTCTCAGGCTCTCCCTGGCGAGCTCGCAGTCCCCAGAATGGGACGTTCCGGGGACCCTGGGGATGTGTGCGTTGGCAGGGCTGCCGGCCTCGAGAGGCGAAGCGGGGAGACCAAGGGCGACAGCTGGCCCCCACGGGACGCGCAGCCCCCGGCACTGCGGCGTCTTGGGGCCGAGCTTCTGGGGTGCCCGGGATTTCGCAGCGGGCGGAGCGGCTGCATTTGAACCGAAGCTCCGCCCGCCCGCAGCTGTCACGCTGGCCGCCGCCCCCGCGCGCCTCCGCGGGTCCCCAGACTTCCCGCGGCGCCGATCCCCGGGGACGCGCCAGGACAGGGGTACGCTGGGGACCCGGACGCGACCCCTCCCGGCCCCGCGCGGCTTCCCACCTCCCTGTCCTCACTCACCCTGCCCGGAGCGGACGGAGCGCGGCGCCGCCGGCGGCTGGGCCGAGCGAGTCTCTCCTGCGCCCTTCGTCCCGGACGGCTCCCGGGCGGGGCGGGGCCGGGTCAGGGCGGGGCGGGGGACACCGCGGCCGCCCCGCCCCGCCCCGCCCCCTTAGGGACCCGCCCGGAGCCCCGCCACACTGCAGATGGGAAAACCAACCAGGGCGGAGGACGAACCCCAACCGCAACAAATCTCAAACCTAAGGTTCGGGAGGGCGGGAATGCTGTATCCATGTCCGTCTAGAGGGTCTCCGGATCCGATCCGGGGTCTTCACCTGACCTCCAGCCCCCTCCAGAGAGTCGTAGTGACCACCCAGAAGAAAGCCCCTGGAGAGGGAATTATCCCGCCTTTCCAGACTTGGGGAGGGGATCAGAGGATAGCAGGTGATGCCTTCACAGTCTGAGCGAGAGACACAGGCAACAGCACCAAATAAAAGAATGAAAATGACACCCATCAGAGTGGTCCATCCCTTCCCACTCCCTAGTCCACCAGCCACTACACTGTGAACTTCCCACTAAGTCTAAGAGCCAAGAATGTCCATCTCCTCTCCCTGCTGTCCTAGCATCTTCCTATCCCATTGGCGATAGGGCGATATCCCTGTTTCCGGCCCTCCCCCCTCAACCTTGCTTCTGAACAGAAAGTTCCATCTTCCCTGCCTCTGGGCCTTTGCACTTGCAACTGCCCAGGGCCAGTCTCATTACACACACACACACACACACACACACACACACACACACACACACACA